GAAAGCAGCACCAGGGTTGCTGCACCTGAGAAGCTCCTTGACCAGGGGAAGACTGATGAGAAGGACCTTCCTCCAGAGCCGACAAAGAGAGAAAGCCTTCCCCTGGAGCTGCCGCCCTGAATTTGGACTTTTAGCCTACTTTACTGTAAGGAAATAAATTTCTCTTTGTTAAAGCCATCCACTTGTGGTATTTCTGCTACAGCAGCACTAGATGACTAAGACAGGGACACAATTCAATCCATAATAGACACTGTTCTTCCCTAATGGAACTTCTATGGAATTTAGTGGAAGAGACAGGCCCCCTCCCCATAAAAATGTGAACAAGCCAGTAAATTAAATATAAAATGTGATAAGTGCTACGAATAGTGGCAGAGGGAGTGGGCACTGGGGCCCTTTAGTTTGGGTAGGTCTAACTGAGCTGACGCCTGAAGGCATGAGAGAGAGGCAGGGAGAATGCATCCTGCAGAGGGAATGGTCTGGGCTATGCTTCCCATCCTAACTGCACCAGCCCGGGGAGGTTTGGGATCCAACCTTCTGGTGCTATGGGAAAAGTATCGAACTGGGGTCCAAACTTTGCTGCACATTAGAATCATCTAGGGAGCTTTAAATGATCCTGATGCCCAGATCATACCTCACACCAGAATCAGAATGACCCTTGGGGTGGAAGCCAGGCATTAGTATTTTTTAAAGATATCCAGGAGATCCCAATGTGCAACAAAGTTTGGGAATTACTGAAAAACATTTTTAAATGGTAAACTAACTATAAAAGGGCTATAAAAGGGTGGATGCCTTACAATAACTTTTTTTTTTTTTTAACAAAATACCATAAGGAACAAGACTGGAAGAATATCTATCAAAATGTAATCAAGTCAGTCACAGAAGGGCAAATATTGAATGATCACACTCATATAAAATATTTAGAATAGGCAAATGTATAGAGACCAAAGTTTATTAGTGGTTATCGGGGGTTGGAGTAGAGGGAAAGAGGGACTCATTGCTTAGGGACCACTGAGTTTCTGTTAAAGGTAATGGAAAAATTTGGAAATGGATATTGGTGATGGTTGCACAACATGATGTACATAATTAATGTCATTGAATTGTACGTGTAAAAAATAATGAAATGGCAAATGTTTTTGTTTTGTTATACATATATTTACCACCATAAAAAAATGTAATCAATTATTATCACCCAGAGGTGATACAAAGAAAGATTTTTGTTTTGTTATTTTTCTCTTTGTACTTTCTCTATTTCTAGGTTTTCTGCATCAACCATGCATTACTTTCATAATTAGGGAAATAATAATTATAATTTTGGAATTATTATAATTATTTTTAGTGGTATTAAAGGTAGAGTCTTAGAAAACTTTTACAAAGTTTGATTTCACTTTAGTTAAAACAACATTACTGAGGGTCTGCTATGTGCCATGTACTACTCTAGTAGACTTCTGGTCTACTAGAGGGTAAGCAACAGGCAACATAGTACAGGGTGAAGGGGCTCTGATAGTGGGAGCCCAGGATACCACAAAAAGGAACCAAGGGCACTGCTTCACCCACTGGCCAAATCTGGGACAATGTGAGGATCAAAACAAGTAATGACAGTAATGAATTTAATCTACTATATAAAATTAGAATCCATTGAGTCCATGCTGATAACAAACAAACAGATATGGAGAAGGAAAAGCTCTTCCTTACAGTAGAATGCCAACTAATAAATGGAGAAGGAATGACAGATATAGAAAAATTATTACTTTATAACCATCATAGTAATGACTGATAGAGGCATTTATACCATAAATAGGTGCTAAAGCTAATAGGAAAGAGCCCTGGTGGTGCAATGGTTAAGTGCTCCGCTGCTAATCAAAAGGTTTGCAGTTGGAACCCACCAGCTGCTCCACGAGAGAAAGAGGGGGCAATCTGCTCCTATAAAGATTACAGACTAGGAAAACACACTACCTACACTAACACAAACAGAGGCAGAACTAGGTAAACCTATAACAAAAGAAGAGATTGAAAAGGTAATTTAAAAACTCCCAAGAAAAACATCTAGCTCAA